TTGCATAATCTTTGAATAATATTAAAAGAGAAAAGGATATTTCATTAGCAGTTCCTGGTAGTTATAGGTCCATTCAAAAGAACCGGAAAACATGACCAAATAGTATGAGTGGCCAGTGGATAAAAGCAGCCTCTCACACTACATAGGGAATTCATCTCTGTGCAGATCATGCTTAATGGCTGATTCAAGGAATAACAGTAGCAAGGGTACAAGTGGATAGGCTACAGTGTACCAAATGAATTGTCAGTATCTGACACAGAAATTAGACTTGGTTTAAGTTTAATTCAGATCATAGCCCAGGGTTGTACCATGTGAAACAGATATTAGAAATCATATTAGAAAAAGGCAAATCCATGAAGCCTGGAGCTGAGGGAGGCGATCCATGCCCATGAATAATAAAAGAATACCTATTATCTATGGGACTGTACTATATATTCAGCATATGCAAGCTTCATATCACAGCTATCTTCCCTCCACCTGGGAAGCAATGGACACAGACCCCTCCCCTCCATGCTGGCCAGCGGCTGGAAAGCCATGAACATGCATCTTGCTGTCTTTCCATTCGCCAAGGCCAGAGCAGGTTCTTGGAGCGAGGTGGCCAGTTAAGTCCAAAACTCTGATCCACTGTGTGATCAAGCTTATAGCTCACTTCCTATATTCCCTCTCTCACATATATACACAGCATGCATGTGCTACAGAGGTCCAGCAAATGTTCTAACTTGGAGAGCAAGACCAACTCCCCCCAAGGTTTTACCTTGGCAGAGAGAAGCAGCAGCTGGTAAACCAGGGGAGGAATTTCCTGTAGGTCAACCTTGGAGAACATCCTCAGGACTTTTTCCACCACAAACTGGAGCTCTTCTGCACTTAGTGGGACATCTCTGAAGGAGCAAAAGTGCAACCTGGGCATTTCTATTCCAGTGACAACTCTGCTTCCTCCAGTAGAGGGTCAGCCCTTACACTGGCCCCAGAGTGTCAACATACATTGGCATATAGAAGCCCTCCACCCAAAGACCCTATGCAAAGTTATTGCTATAGCTCCCTACAACCATCTTGGACTCAAGGTCACACTTGAACTTCCAAAACCAAGTACACATGCCAGGATGTCACAAACCCTGTGTCATAGTGTGCTTTCACATGAAAGCATAGCGCCTACTTTCAAGAAACCTTAAAATAAACACAAATCAAGGAATGAGGGCTGAACAACCACGCACATTCAGACTAAATGTGACAAATTTCTAATGCTGATGACATCCCCTGTTCAGTGATGAATTTACAACACCAAGCAAAGGTGTCAACATGGTAAGTGGGGAGAGGAATCTGATGGGATTTGCCAGTCACTGCTACTTATCCACACAGGGCACTACAGAATCTAGCCCTCCCTTTAAGCACAGGCCTCTCTCTTCCTGAGACCAGTAACAATGTCTGCAACACCAAAGGAGAAAGAGCCTGGCTTCACAAGATTTACTCCTGTGGTATGAACAAAGGAAAATAAGGCAAGTGTCCCTATTCTTCAGCAGCAAACCGCCAGCTAGGCAAGATCTGGGAGAAACAGTGTTGCCAGAGCTGCTCCTGAAGCACCTGGGGCAGGCTGCAGCAATCTCCATTCAGGCTCAGCAACCGGGCAACTGGAAAGCTGGTGGCTCCCCACCTGCACAATGCCCAAGCTGTTTGCGAAAAAGAAGGTAGAAACACATGGAGAATAAGAGAGCAGTGGGGGAAGGAGGATCTTACCTGAACATGTTGGTGAGAGGAATTACACACTGATGATCCCATCTGGCCAAACAAAAATACATTGAGAGCCTGAGAAGGGGCAGAACTGCTGTTTCTGGCCCCTTCCCCAACCCGTTGCTCAGCTGCCCTCCCAGATGCAAAAATCCTGCCAGGCATTAGAGAGGAACAAGGTTTAAAAATGGTGCAAACAAGAGGGAGGGGGTCCTCCAAACCATGTCAGGCACTCAAAGTACCACGTAAAGTGTCCTTTGC